AACTAAAGATTTATATAAGATTCGACGGGGGACAAATGAGTAAAAAAATCAAAAATAATACTTTCAACTAAAGACTCATGTGAACTTGAAGGGAGGCCATCACCCATTATAGCCCTTCTGTAGTTCCATCACTGCTCACCAAATGAAACAGTAATTTTTTCAGAACAAATTTTTTGGTAGGCAAAAAAAAAGTATAATTTAAGTATACGAGAGAAGAGTGTAATTTATATTTTAATTTCAAATCTAATTAATCTTCTCTGTATCCTATAAAATTTGATAGGATTTTTAAAACAAAAGAAATAGAATAAATAAAATTTTAAAAATAAAATCATTTCTTATTTTTTAAGATTCAAATATAAGGTTTAATTTACAAATCAAATCTAAGTACAATTTTTAAACATTCCAAACATGTTCTTGTGCATCCCTGTCTCAGAAAGATTTATGAAGTACGTACCGTAAAAGTGCCAAAATGTGAAAATGTAAGTGATCCAAATTAAATTGAAAAAAAATCCTTCTAAGCGAGCAAATAATTTGAAAGTTTAAAAAAAATTTAAAAATTTAAAAAAAAAAATTGATTAAGTAACGGGTTAAAAGTTTGGGTCTTGGATTGATAATCATGACTCTGAGAACCGAAAAAATGATAATTAGTTCAATATATAATTAGATTTAACACGCGAAGTGAATTAATTATTTAAACATCAACATTATTTTTATCTTAAATTAGTTGGGGTCGATGAAGGTAGATGAACCTGAATGAAGAGTAGAAAAAAATTGATGAAAAAAGAATAAAAAGAATATTCAAAAATTATATATAACATTATCTATTAAAAAATAACAATAAATAATTAAAAGGAAAATTAAAATAAAATAAAGATATGTAAGAGGACAAAAAAAAGAATAAATAAATACATAAATAAATAAATAAAAGATTGGAAAGGGGAAAAATGAAAGAAATAGAAAAAAAGAAGAGGTTAAGAAAGAAAGGGAGATATTCCAAAGAAAATCAATTAAATTAATATAGACATGTTTAAATAATTAATATTAATATGTTTAAAAAATTTAATAATATTAAACCAAATCGATTAAATTAATATAGACATGTTTAATAAATTAATATTATTCTCGCAGGCCCAATCCGCCAGCCGAGCAAGGCAGACCCAATACCAGATACCCAAGCCACCTCAGTCCTAATTGACCAACAGCACTGACACTCCTGTCACCACCTGATTAGACATCAAAATGGCTTATCTCGAAGAGCTCCCATATCTCTTTTGCCTCTCCACAGATACCCATTGTAGAACACCAAAATGTTCTCCCCCCACTTTCCCCTGTACAACAGTCGCTGATGGGTGCCCTGCTCCAGTTTGAACCAAGCCACTTTAGCTTTCCCCATAACAGTTAACTTGGCACACTCCCCGAACAAATTGAAGCCTATAAATATTCTCTTCCCTCACCGTACAAGGGATCCATAACTTAATAAGTTGTTACCATGCCAATCTGAAGAGGTCTTCTTGTCATTAACCACTCCTTATCTAGCATATTTCACTACTAGGAACACTTTTCGCTGTCGTGATCTTTACCATAGCAGTGTTAGGTACTCCTACAGTAATCATCACACACCCCAATTGGGGTTACATGTTGGACTCGATACTTTAAACGGTTCAAATATGTTTAAATAATTAATAATATTAATTATTTAAACATATCTAATTTAATTTAATTGACTTGATTTGGATTGTCGTATTCATCATATTAATCTAACCAGATGTACATTTCTATTAATGATGTCAATTCAGGCTAACTCAGTATTCTTGCAGAGTTCACTATGTACGAGGTGTGCTCTTAAAATTATCAGTGAATGGTCTAAATCTTTATCAACCTCAAAAATAAAAATCTTACAAATACTTTTGAAAAGAAATACTAAATTTCCGCACAAGTGGCTGAACAATTTCTTTTGTACAATGTTATGGTTGACTATATGTTTACGTTGTGCATTGCAAGTTGGGTTAATATTATATGTTTGTGGAGAACGAATCAGCATGCTTGAGTACTTCAGTTACATTATATGCAAATATGCAATGACGCAAACTTCTTGTCAGATCATGTTACCTACCTACTGGCTGCAAAATCCTCAAACGCTAGATAAAACATCGCCAAATAGTCTAATACGATATTTTTATGTCTCTACAAAGAGACAATAAGATAATGAACACTATAGTTCGATGAGAATAATTTGTCGTGGAACCAAACAATTTGCCATAAATATGTTAACTTGTAACTTTTATTGAGCGCCTAGAGATGTAATTTATCTAATGAAATGTGCATGGTAATGTCAATTGAGTAAGGAAATTATACGTGGCGATCAGATATATGTCATATCCGCAGGGATATGCCATTAAGATGTCTTTTTGCCATCAAATTAATCTAGTATTATGAATATATATATATATATAGGGTTTGCATTCATCATTTAACATGACCATAAAAAGTTTTCTATACTCACAACATTTTGAGGGACCTATATGTTTTGAAGGAAAAAAAAATTATGGTACGTAAAATGAATCTCTATAACATAACACAATTATTTTTCCTACAACATAACTCTTATAAAATCTTTTATATATATATATGTGTGTGTAATTGTTTACCCAATTCCGAAACAAAAGAAAAATTAAGTAAAACTCTGCTATTCGAATTCCTAATATAGCAGATAAGTATCAATAATTATAGATTTTTTAGTTGAAGTCTTAATAATGGAGAAAATAATGTTTGAAGAACTAGTATCAAAAATTTCCAATGAATTGATTGAAAAACTAAATAAATAAATAAAAAGAAAGATAAACTTTGCTTTAAATTACAATTCACCATTACCCTAACCAATCACTACTATTAGATATATTCAACTATATATGAATTTAATTTTGGTCCATGTAAGTATAATTTTTTTCATAGGTATCCAATAATATATTATCACATCATTAAATAATTTTTATTATAATTAACAATTATTTAAAAAGTTAAGTTCTTGTAATGTTGTGATAAAATATGATACGATGATAGTGTTAAAAAAACATTTACACTCATAATGCGTTAAAAAAAAATTACACAAAAGCTATTTCACACTTTTTTATAACTTATTTTGTAAATTATCAAGTGGTAACTGAATTGTATTAACTTTTTCTAAGAATGCTTACTAAACAATATTCTCACAGATTTATACACACAATATTCTCACAGATTTATACACATTATTTTCTCCTTATGTTCCAGTCTTCCAGATCCATCTGTGACTGTGAGGTGCCAAATATGGTTGTCCTCAGAAAACATTGTTAGATTAGAACTAAGCTGGAGACTTAATGCAGGAAGTACCATGTACCCTCCTCAACTGTGTAACATACCTATAAACTCATAACAAAGAATGTTGGAGAATAAAATTAATTTGTAGAACGGAGTAAGTACCAGACCAAAAAGAATAAGTACAATGCCTGCTTTTTTGGTACAACCATGGGTCGAATGTGAAACCTCAAGAGGCATTATTCTCTTAGATACCAACTCTATCCCCTTTACCAAATCAAGATAATAAAGAAGAAAAACAAAAAAAGAGGGAAAAACATCCCTTTCCCCTTTAAATCATCTTTTCTAGATATTAGCATTAGTACCTCCATGTGCCATTAAAATCAGGGGACATGCTGATTTCCCCAAAGATTTTTCTTACTGTGACATGATATGGTGAGAGAAATATGTGCTTAAAGGAAATATATATACCTTGCAAATAAGGCTCCTATACCTTGCAAATAAGGTTCCTAAAGCACATGGCGTTAGGGACCAAGTGATGCATGTGATGGTTGAAAGTTTCGTTTCATTGTCATCCAAACCCTCAACAAAATAAGTTAACGTATGGATGGCCAGACTCCACGATTAGCCACTGTCTTCCCCTGATAAAGAATGTCACACCCAACATCATCTCAAAACCTTAATAAAGGTCACATCAACCAACAAGGGTATCATACTTTGATGATATAATCTGACAGAATAATTCTTTAATAAAGGAAAACAGTAGGGTCATATTTTCATTTTTGCAATGTGTTGATAACATGATGGACTCAGAGGAGTGTCAAGGCAATCACATGGGTGATACTATGTGATTAAGTCAGTCCATGTTTCTGTTTTGGGGTCCCTCCCCTCTCTTTTTGATAGTTACCTGCCATTGGTACTGAGTCCGTACACCACAACTTGTTTTAGGTTTGGTCTTGAAGGAAGGAAGGGGTACATGCAGGAATTATTTTCAAAAATGCCTCTTTTCATTTTTTTTACCAGATTAAGAAGCCATTTATGCACTTTGATCCCTCACTGCAAAGGTTAACCCCCCAAAAAGTTCCATGAGCAAGATTCCTAGCCCACCCATGTTGCTCTAATTGACATACTGTTCAATAATGACCAATAATACCTTTCAACATAAAATGGGTGACTTAGATAATGACTTTGGGGTTAGATGTTAACATACGGTTCAATAGTTAAAGAGTATTATAGATCAATGGTTGAGGACTAAGACGTTACCTGATTTTCCAATTAAAAACAAACGTCATGAGTGAATTTTATTGTATAGGCATTGCCTATAATAGGCACTGTGACCACTTTCATTAGAGAGACTTACACAGTATGCTCAAACTGTCAAGTGTTTTACCATAAGCATTGCCATCATAACAAATTCTTATTATGCTTTCGGGGTAATCTCGGAAAAGAAAAAGTGTAATGAATCAAATAAAGTTGAAACATTCAACCAAAAATAAAATAAATGAATAAAACAGAAACAAGCACCACGAAGCTGGGAGCATAGAAGGACAATATAACTAATAACTATAATAACTAACTATCATTAGAAAATTCAGAAATTTCAAGCACCAATCTTCCAATCATAAGGGGTAAAATCCTAAAAGAAAAAGGAAACAAGCTAGAGAGAGAGAGAGAGAGAGAGATGATAGTAGTAAAACAAATTACATTCAGAGACACAGAGGAAGTGATGGAAGCTCAAAGTAACCATCACCAAAAATGTCTCTATTCCCACTTTCCTTGCACCTGCTTCTTGGTCTTGCGAACTTTGTCACTTCCATTTCATCCTCCACATTGTCAACAAACTCTTCCAACTCCTCCTCTCCCTCAGTATCTTCTTCACCACAAACTTCATGGTTCTTCTGAGTTTCAGCTTCTTCTTCTTCTTCCTCCTCCTCCTCTTCAATTCCTTCTTTACCGTCAACTACTTCATCATCACCATCAGAAACTAAAAAACTCTCAAACAGACAGAGCCTGAGCCTACCTTTGCTACGCTCTGCATGAAAATAATGGCGAGGGGAAGGAGATGCAACAGCTTCCAATATTAACCTTCCACCTTCACGATGAGGCCTAACATGAACCCCACCCATTGAAGTGAGTGGTGGTGGAAAGCTACAAGCTCGGTTCACTCTTTTAGACACACAATTTTTGTCAGTGTTATGTCTCGTGAAACATGTGTTACTACTGTCAAATGAAAACAAAGAAAATTCATCACTGTTTTCACCAGCATTACTACCAGTCTCGCTGCCGAGGCTTTCAGTGCACATTTCCAAGCTCTTTTCACTGAGCATTGAAGAGGAGCGCTTAACAGTAGGGTGAACATAAACTTGTTCCTCGGTTTTGTTACAATGAGTAGTGTTGGCAAGAGCTTGAAGGAAACTCCAGCCACTTCCACCACCCACGTTAGGAACTGTGTCCTTTTTGTTACATTCATTGTTGTTGGTGATGGGTTTTTCTTGGTTTTGGGAATCTGAGTCTGAGTGGGAAGAAAAGTTGGACCTTGGTGGAGCCAATTTGAGCCTCAGAACGTGTGATTCGATGACACGGGGTTCAAGACAAGATTGCAAGCCTTGACAAACGCTTGAGGAAGACATTTTGTGTGTTATATGAAAATGTGAAAAGCAGAGGAAAGAAAAGGAAAGGAACAGGGGAAAAAACAGAGGAGTTCAGTTAAAAATAATGTTGAGGTGAGGATTTACTAGTTGAGAGAAGAAAACTTGGGTGTTGTAGACTTGTAGTGAAAAGAGAGTGTGTTATAGGAAAGCCATCGTTTTGGTTATTGGTTTATGAAATTGAAGGTAGGTTGTTCCTTGGGAAAGAGAGAAAAGGAGGAGGTAGAGAAGAGAGGAATGGACGTGAATGAGAAGTGAAAAGGGTGGGTCTGAATTTATAGTTGGGCTACCTTAGTGACTTTATTGTGTGTTTGTGCGGAGAGGGTAGGTACCATATCCCCTAGCTATGCCAAAAAGTTATGGTGAAAATAACATATTTTACTCTGCTTTAGTTATTGGAATGATAGAGAATAAACAAAAAACAATAAAGAAATAAGGACTTAATTGTTGTAAAATATTTTACCTGTTTGGGTAACTTTTGAATTTTCATTAACGGTTAATATTAATAGCGCATTGAAATGTAATTTTTTTTTTTTAATTATATCGTGTAACCGTCATGTTAATGAAGTATTGCCTCCTCCTATTTATGTGTCTAGTCCTATATAGAGTATTTGTTCATATATAAAATTAGATTCATCAATGAACTTGATGATATTCTCTTCTTCTTTTTCGAGAGTTTTTTTTTTATCTTTCTATGTTTTCTCTTTCCATTTATCTTTTTCTATTTTCCTTCCATTCATTTTATAACATTAATAGCATAATTACACAGCAGTTGCCTTCTAATTTAAGCCATGTTTCAATGAATATTATGGAAGTTGTTTTCAATCGAGACCCTTATTTTTGTTATTTATGAATAATAACAATGATGTAAGAATTTTACAAGAGAAACTTCAATTTGAAATTAAAAGTCCTAGGTGGTAATTCCAAGGTAAAAGAATTTGTGACATTGTTTCAAGTGCTTTACTAAAGTTTGTGCGTATTTGGATTTGTTCGTTTTAAAATATCAATTTATTTTTTATTTTTTTCTAAATTTATAGGAGATCTTTTTAAAAAGATAATTATTTCTCAAAAATAATCAGAAGTCAAACATGCACAGATTAGCCATCACTGTTCCCCCGCACTCCGGATTAGTCTCATAGCCGGCTCAAAGAGTTGAAGCTCGTGGAGATACCGGAGGGAGCCAACTCGTCTCAAAGAGATAATTAGGGTTGGGTAACTCCAAAAAAAAAATAGTACTTTTCATTTTTCATTATTCCAAAAATGAAAAATTACTACACTTGATTGTCACGTCAAGATTCAGTCAGTCTAAAGGAACCTGCGAGGTGCATGCTTGATGATGTTTGCTTATTTCACAAAACTGAGCTAAAACATTGAAAAATTTAGAAGTTTAGGACTTTGTAGAAAATCAAATTACAGAGGAATAAACTATAAAGTATAAAGGAAAAGGGGAAACGAATATAAACTAAATTGAAAGTGTCAGAAAATAATATAAAGTATAAATCATTAAAAATATCTCACCCAACAGCTTTTTTGATTGAATTAAGTTTTTATATGATATCAAAATCTCGATGTTCTGAGTTCGATCTTCACTATCTCTATTTATTAATAGAAATTTTTTAGTATAAATAAGTTGGACTAATATATTATTCATTATCCACCCTTCGAGTCTATTGAACTCTCCTTTGAAAAGACATTTTAAAAAATAATATAAAGATTGAATTGATTCTTTACTAAAGAGTGTGAGCAGTGGAAGGAGTCCGTGGTTAATAAATATGTACTCCAAAGATGAGGTAAAATATATGTGAAGAAACAGTATGATCTCCATTTATAATACATGTCAAAGCAGATTGACACTTTTCAGTTAAGGAATTAAAGGTGCTGTGTGTTGCATCCTCTGATATTTTGAGAATACTCATAAAGCTCTTCATATAATATAAGGTAATTAGGCAACCGACCAAACAAGAGGGACCGAAGGAATGGATACTAAAACAATGTTTGAATAATCCTCACTTTGATGTCTTCTAACTTCTAAGCTAAGAAGTCTCTCAACTTTTCTTGACTTTAAGACACTCTTCAAATTATATGACTTGTATATTTGTGGTCAGAGAAAAAGACAGCATCGTTTCATCACCTTTCTCTCCTTGTCCCTGCCCTTTATTCTATTGGCCAAATCTGTACGGAAAATGTTTCTATTATTTTTTTCTATAAAGATTCTCATATAATCAAATGGAGCTATGCTGCAAAAGCATATGGTCATCAAATGGATAGGCTCTTCTTAGTTTAAACGTTAGTCCATATTAGCTTAATTTCTAAAGAACACAAGTGAAGAAAATAGCAAGCTCCTAATTTATTTGGCTATATAATAAGCTATGACCAGCTGAGGAATTTGTCATGCTCATAAAACATGCAAAGTAATGCAAATTTTGGTTGTGAAATATCTAAAGTAAAGGCTGTTCACTGTACTCATTTTCTTTCCTCTTTACGTAATAAGCTATTACTCGAGAGAGTGAACCTGCAGATCCAGAAAAACTGTCGCAATACCCTCTTGAATCTTGAGCGATGTTTTAGTGAATAATAATGCAATAATGCATTCACACACACACACACACACTATAGCATAAGGGGTATCACGGAGTAAAAGAAAGTTGTCCACTTGCACCCACATATACATGGCATTCACACACAAAAGGAGCAAGTTGTGTGGCAGTGGCTCTTACAACATTCAGTAACTTATGCCATCTAGCATAAAAGACGCGCTTTGCCTTATCTCATGACTGAGAATTATAGTTAACAACGAGTGGTAGTGAATGAAACAAAACGTTGTCCAGTTTTCCAAAAAGATATTGAAAAATAGTACTCTGTCTTTAGCCATTTGTGTTTGGTCATTTATACGACGCCTAACTAACCCAAGATATACTACAATGATCATATCAATTGGCCTTCCATACTCATTTCGTAATTAGAAATTAAAATGTTACTTTTGATATATAAACTGTTCGTAACATATATCTTCCATGCATATATGTATAATTAATTATCTACATACTGAGATAGCATTGCCATTTCATACATGAAATAGTCCTTCTTACATCTCAAATTGCAAAAATGCAAAAACATTTGTTTAAAAGATTAGTTTGATTGATTATGTGGTCCCCATTAACGTTGCAAATTAAAACTACGAACATTAGTTTACAAGGATGACGTAAAACACCAATTTTACGGTACCAAGAATAGTTTTGAGACAAATAAAAATGTAGTCTATATGGAAGAATCTTATTCCAAAAAAGGAGCATATGTGTATAAATGCTATAACCGGTGAAGGAAAGAAGAGAGGGGCCTAGCACTCCTTGCTGATTTTGGTACGTCACACTCACAGTCCTTCCTAGCTAATTGCTCTATATATATATGTTGTGCCTTTAATGCTAGAAAAACCGGAAATTAAAAATGCGAGGGTGGATAGAGGGTCGAGCGAAACGAATATGAGAAGGGAAATAAAGGAGGGGACAAGACTATATGCGCCTAGCACACTTTGAAAAGTTAGGTCAATGCCCTAACCCTCGAATGCGCTTGTAGGGTTGTTCTAAATTGGCCAATCATAGGAAACCTTTATAAACCAATGCATTTTTCTTTGGAGTATAGAATGTGAACCCCAAAGCTAGCTAGATCTCATTATATATGTTCGTTCTATGTTTATGTGTCGTTTGCTTAAGCATAGAATATTTGTGTTTTAATATTATATTTTTAAGAAAGAAAGGCAATGGATTCTCTTTTTGTGAATCAATCTAAAATGCTCGCACTATAGCTTACCAAGTTGAGTTTCAAGTTTTGACCATGCTAGTGCTACAATTTTTTATTTTATTTTTTATTTCTTTGGTTTTGCTCCACGCGGCGAAATGAAAGTGAAAACCAGAACAGGACTAACGTGGTACATATTAAAGAATAAGAATAACTTTTAGATGAAATGCTTACTTTATAGTTGAAAGATTAGGGTGTCACCGTTTTAGTCCTCCAAAAAATTGTCACCGACTTAGTCCTTTAAATATTTAAAACAGATGTCAAATTCGTCATTTTTTATTTTTTCGTCCTATACAAAGACGAATATGATGACGTTTTAAATATTTGAAAACTAATTTTGAAAATATAATGTAATGACACGCTGACCTTAGATAATCTAATATTCATTACTCGTCATAAATACTTAAAATAAAAAGTATTCAGTTTTTTAAAATTTTCAAGATATTAAATGTTCATATTTTTTATTTAATAATTTTTTTTCATTTTTTTTTTGAAAATTGTTCCAAGGGTATCCTTTGGCCAAGGACTAATCCCCTTGAGACGAAGAGATTATGAGATCGTGGATACAGCCTCTTCCAACAAAGTATTTTCTATACACACAAAGTTTAAAGGATCCAACTATCTATCAACTTTGCCAGGCTTTGTTGATAATTTTTTTTAATTTTTAACAATGCATGTGTCCTCAAAGCACGTGTATCCTATAATTAATTGAAAAGAACATATATTTAAAACAAAAAAGAAAGAGAGAAAGATGAATTGTATTAATCTTTTGAGTGACTAATTTGATGACAAAAAATGTTAAAATATAATGTAATAACAGGCTAAACGTGACTTTTTAATTCTTTTGCCTCTCATTAATTAATTAATAATCATTATGTCCCTTATTCAGAACTATCTACCAATTACTTTAATCGATTAATTGAATATTTAATCGATTAAATAGTCAAAATAGACAAAAATAGTTGACTCGAGATTTAATCGATTAAATCTCCGTGGTTAATCGATTAAATCTCCAAAAGATTGGGTTTGTCGTTCTTCTTGCAACAGTGGCATGGGCATGGGCAATGCGTCGGTGAGAAACCCAAAACACCACCACTTTCAGAAGAGACACAACCAAACCCAGCTCTGAAAGCAAGAGGGATTTTGAAACTCATGAAGAGCATGTAAAGAAGCATCACCACCATGAA